GTCAAGGTAAGCAACATGCTTGGGCAACAACCAATCCACGGCAATGTAGCGCTTTACGTGTGCAACATACCGCGAAGCTCATGACCTGCGCTGGGTTGACTGGTGGAATAATCATTAGTCCATTTCTCTTTTCCAGGAGTGTGTCCAGCAAGTTATTTAACTGTACTGATGTCTGACATTGCTTAGCATCTTCATACATGGAAATGTTGCAGAGCGGCGTCATTCCGCAGCTGCAGTCGGAAGGGTTAATGAACGACGTTTACTGGTAGCAGGATGGAGCATCTGAACAATCAGTGTGTGCCCTCCTGAACGAGAGATTCCTTGGAGGTTGGATCGGTCGCGGAGGACCGATAGAATGGTCTGTGCGATCACCGGATTTGAATCACATGGGCAGTTTCCTATGGGGATAGTTGTAGCGCAGAGTTCATAGAAGGAAGACCAACAACATGGATGAACTGAGAGAGCATTTTGAACGAATGTAGACAGTTTTCGTTCGAGACATTACAGAAAGTGCTCGCCAACACCATCCAGTGAATGTTTCTCTGTAGCACTTCGAATAACTAATGCGTTGATATTTACAGATATTTCATATATTCCATGTAAATATAAGTAAAGAAAGGAATAAATGTACACTCTTGATTGTAGATGGGAAACACCATCGAAGGCCTGAACAATTTTACAACTAGCAATTGTCTGACTATGAGAGCTATAGTTGTATTCATGACTAAATTGGTATGCTGTCTAATGGGGCACCATTGTGTCGGGGCAGGCTGAAAGCTAACAGCGTTGTCACGTCAACTCAAGTCAAGAAGTCGTTATTATGCACCCATGAAGGGTGAATTTTCAGATGTAACACACACGCGATCGAAACGGTAAAACGAAGAACATTATAACCTTAGAATCCGCTCCTAGCAGTATCATTCCCGTTAGCAGCGAAAGCAGCCTAGTAAAAGCTTACGGGTTTGTTAGAAGCCAGTCATGAAGAGATAGTAGCCTTTGTGGTGATAGCAATACGGCGCCGATCGACCGGTTATCACATATGGCCAGGCATTTTTATCAGTTGCTAGCACAGCGACCCACTAATCACTTCGCAGGAAACCCTTCTGCTGGCATTTCATCTGCATGAAGGCTGACTAGCGATCGATCGAAGCATGACACGTTCAGTGCGGCCGTGGTGTCCAGCTCACCTCCAGTTCGCACAGCCGAACGGCTTGCGGTGCGTTGGTCTTGCCCTGCGGTCGAGGCATGACGCATTCATTGCAGCTGTGAGGTTTGCTAGCGTGCCGTTCTCACAGCCGAACGGCTCCGCGTGCTCTGCGATCGTAGGCATACATGTCGCGTCTCTGTGTCCCATCTCACCCCTGCCGGCAAGGCAATTTGCGCCATTGGACAGTTAGCAATTCAACGTACCGGTGTACGTCAGCACCTGAGTGCAGCCACTTCTAGATCCAGACCAGATTAATAAAACACCCTGTAGTAATTTTTATCTTCATCTTTTCGGTTTCCCTCTCGGTTAGTGTGATTCCCTGAATGAGCTTTCCACACCAATTACCCCCTTCAGCTCACTTATCGTAGTTTGAGATCTACTGTGGATGCAGTGCCCTGCCTTTTGCGTTCTATATTGCTATCATTTGATAACAGAAAGTGATTAACTCATACATGTTTTCTTGTGTCTGAGTATGCATTCGGGTGTGTAAAACGTTAACATATGCTGAAAGACCTACTCATTCAAGGAATACATTCCTTCATCATACATATGATGAGCGATTATTTTGCTGAAGACATAAAGATTACACCAGTCAGTTGCAAATGCTCCTAACCAATAACTAGCAACTCGGATATTCTTCAGGGAGAAATTCAGTCGCCTCAGCACTTTCTACTTACGTCAGCACAATAATAGCCAAACAGTAAGTGACGCCCGCTGTAACAAAGCAGCACACACTTAACTTGTAAGAAAATTCTCGCAGTCCTATTGAGGCATTGGCCCTCTCAGTGGAACGCCTCCCAAAAGGTCTCCTTTTTACCTATGGGAGCCACTTGTCAAGCTAGATTTCAGTGGGAAGTTGCGCAGACCCTTTTGTCGCTTTACACGCAAGCACCTCATAACGTTTTGGCACCATGAGCCCCGATTATTCGCAGTCACACCTGTGACTGACTTGAAATGCGAACATATCGAACCTGCCCCAGCGCTGCTAGGTAGTCCTAACAGTGTCATTCCATAACTTTCATATTCCGATGTTCTAAGTTGGTATTATAAAGGGGGTTTCGTGTATAAAAGTAAGTTCCCAAATTTCCCGCTTCGCTCCGAAGATGGAAAGTTATCGCGAACAATTAGTTGCAACCAAACGGACGTTTACCAGTAATCGTTCACATATCCCCGCAAAATCGTCATTCCACACTCCATTTTATTGGCACGTTCGTCGTTTAATTTTTCTCTCTTCATTATGGCCATTTTGCGAAGCATGTCAAGCGTTATTTAACCCGTTATATAGCAGTGTAGTGCCATCTGCGATCGTGGACTACATGTTCACAGACCGTTAGGTAGGGAATTGATTGTTATCGACCTCGCGGAATTGTGTTTTGTAGGTACAACTACTGTAGGAAGGAACTGAGGTATTGATCACATGTATGCTGCGTTGGCCAAGTACCGCCACTAGAGAAGTGGAGGTAAAATGGCAAGACAAAGCCGCCAAGCAACGATGAAGTGTTTCCCAAGTGCGAACATACCACACAGCTCGGATATTCACTACATCTTTAACGAGTACAGTTATGAATGCAGTTGATGCGCACCAAATGCGTGTCAGTCTGTCGTCCTTACGTTGTGCCTGCAGCAGTCCGCAGTGTGCAAACCGCCATTTCATTGATGTCCAGTCGATGATGCATGTGTGTACGGATCAGCTGATGTAAGCTGCCGACAGTCAAGTCACAGGTTTTCGTTTGATTCAGGGACCATTAAGCTTATCTACTTCATCCACCATGACGGCAAGGGACGACAGATGGAACAAAGCAGCGACTACTCGCCTTGTAACAAAAGTTGCCGCAATCGTATTTCGCCATTAGCCCCTTCAGCAGATCACCGCTCAAGATGGCTCTCTAGTACCCAAGGTAGCCACCTTCCAACCTGTATTTCGGTTGCGCAGGCCTATTTTTTCGCTTCACTCGCAAGACCGTCGTAACATTTTGGCCCCACAAGCCCCGATCAGTCGCAGTCATGTCTCTGTGACTGCCTTGCTATTCGAACGCAGTGCTCGAGCGTTGGTAGGTCGTCCTAAAGTCTAGGCAGCACCAAAGCTAAACTAGCCAAAAGATGGTTAATGAGGTGTCGCGTCACCGTGTTCGCGGCCCCCTCCACTGGTACCGTGCACAAAGCATATCTTTACGTACATGGTAGCCCACTTACGCCTATTCAATCCGCCACCCATTCGCACCACGTGACTTTGGACAACTTGTGCCGCTAGCCTGTGTGGAACTAGCTTCCCAGTAGACAATGGTCACCTATGCCTACGTATCTCCATCGCATACCATCCACTCATTCTATGCATGCAAGTGCTATTACATCTACCCTCAGTGGCTGATTTGGACTGCGCGTGTCGGAAAGATACTGGATGCAATTCAAAGGCGTCAAGGACTATGTTCAATTGGCTAACGGATACAAATCAGGGCCATAGGGAGCAACGCAGTTACACAATGTATGCAATCAATCAGGAAAAGGTGTTAGTGGCATTGTCATATAAACAACCTTGTTCACTGGCTCGTAAGGCTGGGATTGCGGGTTCCAGCCCCAAAAGATACACTTCTGACGAATTCTGACAGCACGAGGCGGAAGTCGTGCCTTTCTGGATGTGTGGTATTCTCTGTGTGAGTCTAATTGTGACGGAGTTGAGGTAATCATAAGCTTCAAGTAGCAATGAGCTGTGAGGCGGTGGTTCGGAAACATGCCACCGAATCTGACGTGATCAGTCAGTTTAAGGCGGTGCCCAAAGTAGTGACAAAAAGTGTGAACCCTTGAAACGTGCCATATGGTTTCGAGAGCGGATGTATTGACTAAAATATCATGGGCGCACCGGTAGATCCAATGAAATCGCATCAAAATCTGGAGTAGAATTAGTTGGCCGATCTGTAACTGGACCGAAACCACCATTTCTGAATAACAGGCACGTAAAAAGCAAATTTTCTGCGGATGTTATTGCTACAGAGTGGTTGCAGTCACAAACTAAAATCTTTGTTCCCCTTTCAACAGTAGTACTAACGAATGTGGTCATCAACACGAAAAATACTATACAATATCTTTTTAATTTGTGAAAGTGTACAAACTTTTAGTCGTTGTTGCAAGTTGGTTTGTTATGAACAGGTCACTTGCAAAGAGATGTGTACATGAAGTAATCCCGATGAAGATACATCGCCACTATTAGTTTCATAAAATCACACAAATGGTCCACTTCGGATAAAAGTCGCGGGCGATGTTCTGGTGAGTGCCAATATGACGGATAGTGTGTCGTTCGTACGAATTCCCGAAGTTTCCACGTAACCACGTCTGATGGCATCCGATTTGAGACACACATACCAGCATTACAACAAACGGTCACGGTACACCACGACGAAGAATCGGTCAATGATGGAGGAGCACGCAGTAAAGCTAGAAGCGACCGCTATTCGAAAGTTGTGAACACCTATACACTGCGTCGCACGTGGTTAAGGATCGATAAGGTAGACAGGTCATGATTGGCCACGCGAACAGAGACTCAAATATGGTCGGTCGTGGTAGCGAATCAGTAAGCAGAAAACAGTCGGAGGTTAGAGACATGGACAGTTGATTGGAAGGTAGAAACATGTATGTGGGAACATATAGTTAGCGCATAAATGCACATTGTCAGTGAAGAAAATTAGTCAGCCCGGTCTTTGCATTGGAATCGCCAGAGTGAAAGCACACATGACAGCGTTATATTAGGTCCTTGCGTACATTCATATTCAGAGATGGCGAAAGTTAAGGCATAACTTACCAAATTTACTACTTGATGATACCAGCCGGAGGGCACGAAAACTGCCTGTCCAGGATACTGGTCGATAATACAATAATCCACGCCGATGTGTTCCAACTCTAGTTCGCGAACGTCCGGTGGAATCGCACCCATGGACGATAATTTCTTTTCCTCACCTGCGGAACAAGAGAAGTAGGACAGGGAACAGAAACTTGTGAAAGTCACCGAGAGCGCAGAAGATTTCATCGTCCTGAAGAAACCTGCATGCACCAGAAACAGGATAAGAGGTCAAATTAAAGATGAATGCGTACACACGAAGGACACTAAAAGATAACCCACACCAGGCACTTTCATTATCGAAGAATAAGCCCAAATATGTGTAAGAAGCGTTGGGTAATGTTACGTGTCTGTATAAACATAGCACAAAATCTAAAAAGAGCCAGCTACGTGCAGAGCGATGGAGTTACAGTGGAACAAGGGAACAATGATGTAATACGAGTAAAGGTGGCAAGCCTTGGAAAGCCTTGTAGGATGGCCAGGGTTAAAAGAAAATAACTGGCCAACAAAGTAAATCAGGCAACTATGGGGTTACCATGAGTTCCGCATTAACGTGAATGTGAATCCGCCTAATCCCATTTCATGAGGCCTGGTGGCTTACCATCTGTCCGTACTCGATAATCAGGAGTCATATGGTGTATTGTAAATAGTGTAATGTATCGTCAGATCGTTTTTGAAAATAAATCACCTGTATACAGGAACGACATAAGTCAAACATGCGTTCTGCCGCTGACAAGTGTAAAGGAAAAAGCTTCCGGGGACACTCCAACCGGCTGTACTGTGTAGCCACCTTCAGCCAGCGGTCCTTCAGGTTCGTGTTGCGGCTAGGCTTCAGGAAGTGATGGCAGACGTGATTAAGATTTTCAAGATCTTGTACGGCAGGACGGGGTCATCCACCAGACGGTAACAACTTCTAACGTACATGTTTAGGGCTTTCAGCGTAGCAGATATAATAAGCACTCTGCAATTTCAGTCGCCTTACTTCGTGAGGTATCGAGTGTAGTCAGATCGTACTTATACTAACGTTATCAGGCCTGAATTGCGTACTTCTCGTGGAAGTTTACACACGCAAAGAGTATTCGTGGATAGATAAAAATATGCCAAACACCAGAATTCCCTCCGTAATCGAACAAAGCGTTGGGTTTCAGCTTTTGACAACATCACAGCCATATTCGAGCAGCTCAGGCCATCCTGATTCCTTATCCCAAGGTCTTGTTCCTGCGAGGCGCTCTCCAAGATGTGGATGGATAAGTCACTTCGTACTTGCCCGCATCAAAAAGTAGTAGATTCAAAGTTGATATTTAAGAGGCACGGTCTGGGGTCTGGATGTAGCAGACTACGATCATCTTGTGTACCTGTTGCTTTCACATCCTGAAACTATCGTTGAAAGCAAGTAATTCGATCTGGAGACACTCGATAGGCCGCGGAATAATCCTGTTGTCGGAAAATGGGAGTAAAGTTGGTCTGGATGCGTTAAGTGAAACCTAAACAGCCGAAAATGTTGAGGAGTGTGATAGCGGATAACTCCGAAATTATTTGGAATACTGGTAGCTCGGGAGGTTTATTCAGTTGTTGTGGTGTTCGCCGAGCTGGACAATTTGACTCCAAACGTTTCGTACCAGTAGGAGCTGGTAGAAGGCAAACTCAATGATGAAACGATGTCACCTCGAGTGGTGACGAAACGTTTGCAATCAAGTTGCCCAGATCGGTGAACATCACGACAAGTGGATTCCTCCGTTGTGAATCTACCCACAAAAACAAATGTAAGCCGAACAAACGATGACAATGTGAGAATACAGATAAGTAATACATAGTTCCAGAGGAAACAGTGTGAACACATTCCACTACAGACCGAAGCACATCGCCGTGCAAAGAGGGACGGGTGGAACAAGAGTGAAAAGTTTAGGCACGGTTGTGTCTTAGGAGCGAAAAAGCATACAGCTGATTGTGCATAGTGAGGACTGACACCAGACTGAAGTCGCTGCAGCACAAACGCTGACGCGATACACATAGTGTCTGAGTCATATCAGCGGAGTATTTCAGAATGGTGAAACAGTCAGTTTTGTGGACAAAAATAAAACAAAACGTCAACAATATGTGAGACGATCCTTAGGGGCTGTAATGACAGTTACTCACCGGTGAAAGGATCTATAGGTGAAATCAAATCCAACAAGGAGTGAGCTAATCATTTTACCCGTTCAGCGTCTATCCAGGCCTTAGTGACTCCATGCTCCGTCTATGATCTTTTACGGGCGAAGTGTGTAGGCATAGCTTCATAAATAAACAGCCTCCTGACCAGTAGTGACGAGACAAACTGTGCAGTTGCCCTCATTAGGTTATTACCTAATTAGCCGTAGCTAACCACAAGTTGAGTGCTACTCATGACTTCTTATATCGATCCTTATTACAGGTACCGGTTGGAGTGAGTGTAATCGCTGAGCACATGAATACGTGATGGAATGTCGCACAGAGTAAGGTATAGAAACGCACTCATCATCATACACGTTAGCTAGAGGTGCGGAACACCTCAGCTACTGTGCCGCAATACATAGAAAAAGGAGAAAAAAAAGGAATTCAACTGGGGCAAGCCGGCTGAGCTACCGGTAACGGATGGGCATCGTTCCGGTAAGCTACAAGCCGGCTACTATGCGTCAAAAAATTACTATGCAAGATTATATAAGACTAAATAATGAGATCGTGGTTAGAGGGGGATGCTAAGAGGGATGGGAGGGGACAAAGAAACTCACAGCACGAACGCCACTGAGGTCGGCTCCTAGCCATGTCAGCAAGTGTGTCCAACCAAACGTGTTCATCGTCTTTCGGATCCCAACCAGGGAGCCGAGACGCTCCAACCGAGGCCACCTGCGAAGTGAGGGCCTTCATTCCTCTGGACCAAGTCATCGCTTGGCCACCCCTCCTCTTCTTCCATCCACACCCCCGGCACGCAAACAACGCACGTCGCGGGAGTCGGTGGGCTGGCATGCGTAACACGTGGCCGAGCCATCGGAGCCTGGTGCGTGAAATGACGGTGCTGAGCGGTTCAGTTCCTTTTCCTGTGCCATAAACAAGGCGTCGGACACGCTCGTTGCTCACGCGGTGTTCCCACCAGATGTGAGCTAAATTGCGAAGGCACCGGTGGTATCGCAATGAGGCTGGATCCATCGCAATGAGACTGGACCTTACCGTGGTGCGATGGTTTGTGTGCCTTTGTGATCCATTGAGCTATACTGGGTGGTGCATTTTTGCACCTTCAGAGCCACTCATACCAGATTGCTCAATGGTTAGAGTCCAGACAAACTCAGCCTCCTGGTCCTCCAGGTTGGGGGTTGGAATGAGGGTGGCTCCTTATTCTTTAAAACGGACTCCTTGTAGCCCAATGCCAAACCCGCTGCCTTGCGGTCAGGTTTTTTAACCAAAGTCTTTGGTTGAGAACCCTAATCGTTCTCCTGTCTAGGCCTGGGCAACCTGACAGTATCCTGCCCACGCAATACAATGAATCACATTTCAAACAAATTTCTGATGCTCTGGCCACCGCAGAGGATAATCAACGGTGCCCTATCTGCTGCATCGGGCAGGGTGGATAGGGGTTTGGATGCTACTGCTCAAGCCTTCCCGTCTTCTTATTCCCCCTCCTACGCTTTTTCACCCTTATCGTCCCGTTCCAGCTTCACTTATATCCCCCCTGTTTTCAACCCCCCAATTCTCGGCCTTCCCCCACCTTGCTTCAATAGAAACGCACTGGACAGAGAATAATCAAAGTGAGTTCCTTAGCTTGTGGATTCTTCAGACAACACAGGCGTAATGGATCCAGTAATTAGAGTGTAGATCACCATGATGTCGTCGATCTGTTGGCAGACCAGATTTCCGAAGCCGATGCTTGGTGATAGCACCCTGTCCTGCTACGGAGTGAGAAGACATCGGTCCTGGCCCAGAGGATTAAGATTGATTGAGAACGTTGAGATGAAGATTTGTCGCTTTCCTGGATGTGTGGTGGCCGTCTAACTGCAAGGAATCTTCACAAAAAGCAAACAAATCCCACTACATCTTAAAAATAAAGTTGAGATGAGTTTTCGATTCCCAAAGGCAGGAAACAGCTATGCAATGCTCCATTGGAGGTTGATGCCCATCTGACGGAGCTTGGTGGTGATGACTTAAATCTGCAGCCCCATATTCTTTCGAATACTTTTCATAAGCTCCACTACTAACAAATCGTAACCATGACACATTCCACTCGAAGCTGCTATCATAAATCCTTAGGTTAACTCTGAGAAACATATAGTATATCTGTAATACGAGTCGAACCAATGTACCTCAGGAAACGGAAGGTGTTCGTGTATTGTCGCCGCATTGTCTCGTTGCCCAACACCAGACACCAGATAATAGAACAATTCATCGTCGATTTCTATCAACTGACGACGATTAGGAGTCACGGGTGAATAGTTCATCATCGTGGCAAACAGGCAAGATAAGTAACCATATCCAAAGAGGCGGGAAACGCCAAATGATGACGAAATAGAAAGTCACTTTAATAAATGCATTGGATTGGTAGACAAATGTCTCAGCAAATGTTGTGGCATCTGAGAAGGAGAGCTACGCGAACTGAAGTGAAAAGGAAACCAGCAGATAGCGGCAACAGGGCTGTACGCTGGTCTAGCGAAATATCTGTAAAAGCGGACAACGCATGACAGACATGCCAAGTCGAAAGGTAATCCTATAGATATTAAAGTGGTGGTTGAAAGCTTTAAAAAGCCCATCACTATCATCCACTTAACTGCGAATGACTTAAAAAGCAACAAGCAATTCAGAATAATTATAATAGAAGAAAATTAAACATACCTAATTAGGTCTGAACCACAGATCCGACTGAAATGAAGGAGAGCGGGGGGGGGAAGGCTTCATTTGGAGGTCGGCAAAGCAAGAACAGTTTGGGATGGCAATGGAAGCCATTTCATCGATTCAGGTTGGGATACAAGATGATCCGATGGCGGAAAATTCTGTCTACAATAGATTGGTTGCCATCACTTGGTCTTGTCTTCATTAGAGCCGATGGGATGCCTCATGTCGATGAATCCCATTGGAATGAAACATCCCCATTCACCCTTGCTCATCAAAAAGGTCA